CATGATTAATTTATCTTAATTAGATAATGTTTGTTAACAATTATAGCATCTTAGGGGCAGCTAGGTGGGCACAGTGGATAGAGTACTGGCCCTGGAGTTAGGACCTGAGTTCAAATGTGACCTCAGACACTTGACACTTACTAGCTGTGTGATCCTGGGCAAGTCATTTAGCCCTGATTGCCTTACAAAAAATAAAAATAAATAAAAACAGTAATAGCATTGTATGTTTATATGGTATACTTTGTGGTTGAGAGGCAGTGTAATATAATGAATAGAGTTGACCTTGAAGCTAGAAAGATCTGGGTTAAGTCTCACCTCTAACTCTTACTGGCTGACTGGGTGATGCTGAGCAAGTCATTTCTATGTGTTCCAAGTTGAAGATAAAGTACTAATCTGCGTTAAGTCTCCTTACCTGAGAGATGTCTGTGCTGGTGAAATCCCAGGTCAGATTGGGTCCCTGTTCTCACTTTATTTTTACAAAAACTTTCTCATTCATTATCTTATTTGGTCCTCCCAAACCTATGAGATAACTAAGGCCAATATCCCATTATACAGATGAGGAAACAGATTAATTGAATTGTCCAAGAGCATCACATCTAGTGAGTGGCATTGCCAGGCATTGCATGCAGGTTTTCTCATTGCAGTTCTAGTGTTCTTTTCAGTCAGTTGGTCAGTCCACAAGCATTTATTAAATGCCTTCTCTGTGCTGGCCCAGTGCTTACTGCAGCTTCAGTAATCCAAATGAATGTTCAGTTAGTAGAGGTCCAGACAATGTAAAATGGGGATAAGGATCAGAGAGGAATTCCCTCTACCAACATAATGAAAATAAATTCAGTTAAAAAGGGAAGGAAATAAACAGTTATATAGCACCCACTATGTGCCAGACATTGTGCTAATTGCTTTAGAGATATCTCATTTGGTCCACACTTCAACCATGCTGTTATTATCCCTATTTTACAGCTGATGAAACTGAGGCAGACAGTGATTAAGTGATTTGCCCAGGGTTATACAATGAGTAATTGCCCGAGGTCAGAATTCAACTCAGGTCTTCCTGACTACACCAGCCTCCAGGTTGGTGGTGGAGCAAGGGAGATGATAGCTTGGTAAAATCTATAAGATTTAGTAACTGATTTTATTTTGGAGAGGGTTAAGGGGAGGAAAGAATTGAGGACGACTCTGGGGAAATAAACCTAGAAAATTCAAAGAAATGAGGAAGGCCGCTGTCATAACTTTAGGGAGAAGGTTAAAGAATGTTTTGGACATGTTAATTTTGAAATGTTTATGGGACATCCAGGTGGAGATTTCAAGCAAGGGAAGCTCAAATTAAATCATATAGGCCATGTGTGAGAGAATGTTCGGGGCCTAGGGTTGGAGGGAGGTAACCTTGTAGGGAGATTTGAGCCTTCTCTGGAAGCTGTTTCTGCTTTTCATGTCTTCATCTGCAACTTCACTCCTGGCCCAAAAGTTCTCACAAGTTTCCAATTTTGTTTCCTTTTTTTCCTTCACATGGAAACAAGAGGAAGCTAAAGACATAGGAGTGGAAGATGACCACAGTAAATGGATTATTTGTAAATCAGCATTCATGTGCATTAATTTCATCAATACTAAGGACAATGTCTTCACATAGAGTAAAAGACAGCGATTTTAGTTGAGTGGTAGGGTTGGAAGTCAGATTTCAAAGGGTTGAGGGGGAAATGGGGCTTTTCAGTTAAAATGATGAGCAGATTAAAGGGAGCTTGCCTTCTCATATATACTTCAAAACACACAAGTGCCAAAGTGAAGAAAAACAGTTTTGAAAAACACACAAGAAAAGAAAAATTAAACGAAGTTTAAAAAAAATCAGTAAATTGGAATAACAGTACAATTAAAGAGTACTCTAAAGCAATTGAACCAGAAGAATTGTACCAGAAGCAAAGCAGATGGAAAAAGAAACCATTTAAGACATCTCTAAATAACATCTTCAAATGAATAAATTCAAAGAAATTGCAGAGGAATTGAATTAAAGAGAAAAATCATAAGATCAAATAAGAGCTTAAAATAATAAATAGTGTGAGAAAAGCTAAAATTAAGAAGTGCTCTCCCCTCCCACCCCAAATCAGGAGGAAAAAAATAAAGCAAGTGACTAATATGGAAAATATAATAATAATAGCAATTAGCACTTATGTAATACTTTAAGATTTACAAAGAACTTGACGTCTGTTAACTTAATTAACAAGATACTTACTAGTGAAGAAAACAAAATTTTAGGCAGCAAACCTCTACTGGGGGAAATATTGGCACAAACCAATCATTTAATTATTCAAAGAATTGGAAAACATGTAGAATCAAATGACCTGCCTGAAGAAAAAATGCTTTACAATAATTGCAAACAAAACAAAAAAGATTTTGAACATAGAAATTTAGGAAATGAACAAAACAAACTTCACAGACCTAACAAAAAAAAAAGTTGCAATGAATTAATAGAATCCATTGGGTCCTAAAAAGGAAAAACTCAAGGTTCAATTCTTCTAGAAATATTATAGGAGGCTTTCAAGTGGCTCATTGGATATAGTGGTAGGCCTGGAGTCAGAAAGACCTGAGTGCAAATATGGCTGCAGACACTTTCCAGCTACGTGACCCTGGGCAAATCACTTAATCTTTGTTTGCCTTAAGAAAGGAAGATGAAATGGCCAACTACTCCAGTATCTTTGCCAAGAAAAACCTGTGGACAGTTTGATCCCAGGGGGTCATGAAGGGTTGGACATAACTGATCAACTGAAAAATAGCACGATAATAGAAATATTATAATGAAATTCATATCTTATAGGAAAAATTACTTCAAGCCACCAAAAGAAACACAGAAATTGTTTACCAAGGAATGTTAATCAAGAAGACAGTGAACTTTTCAATAAGAAGAGACAGATAACTGGAATACAACATATGTAAAATTGGGAAGCTTGGGGCCATGGACTTAGACATGTGATTTGAGGGCAGAAACTGTTGCTTTTAATTTTTGGAAGTCTGATGCCCACCACAGTTTAGTGGTGTGCATTTCAAAAACATATATAATAAATGTTTGTCAAATTGAATTATCTTCAAATTAAATACCTATTACCATAGGGCATAAGGTTCCTTGTGTTTTTGAGCATGAGGACCACTTTTTAATGTAATAAAAAAAAATCCCACATGACCTTAGTTATAAGTTGATATTGATAGAGAAAATTTAATGAAGACAAAAAACCCCTGTGAATTTACTCACATGTTTAAATCGACTTTTTTTTAAAATCATGTCAATGTACTTTTGAAAAATAGCACTGTCTGTATTTGTGAACCATATTCAGTCCATTGGAGATATAGTTGTTTATTATATTGTGTCACATTGTGTATTCCATTGGTGCCAAGGATGAAAAAGATTATTAGTACATACATGGATTCCAAGATCAGGACCCTAAAGGTTGGGAACTGCTGCTCTGGCGGAAGATCTTTTTGTGCCTCATCCTTTGCATTAGAGCTAGAATTCCTACCCATAGCCTAAGTAAAAGTGAACTGTTCAGTCAATTCAATATTCCAAGAGGCTCGAGAACTTCATTTTCTTTTCTTTTGCTTTTTTATTTTCACATTAGTCATGTTGTAAGGAAGAATTAGAACCAATAGGAGGAACCACCAGAAAGAGGAAACAAAACAAAACAGAAGAAAAAAAAAGCAGATAGTATGCTTCGATCTGCATTCAAACTCCATAGTTCTTCCCATGGATGTGGATAGCATTTTCCATCATGAGGCCTTTGGGGTTGTCTTATATCCTTGCATTGGCATTTTCATTATTATGAACCATTTTTGTAGTAAGATTCTTTCTGAAAACGGTAGTAGTGGACAAGGAGTAGAAGCAGAGAAAATTCACCTAATGAATAATTGAAGCAGCTAGTAGGGGCTAACTTCTATAAAGCAGGTATCAAGTATAATCAGAATTTTTGTAAAGAGAAATCCAAGCCAACCAGGCTAACGTGTACCTTACCCTGAGAAATGCTGAAGTCTATAACTGAAGTTTTAGCCCCTTGAAAATTCAGCTACACTCAATGGTGAGTGAATCATGAGGATGTACAACAGTCAGGAAACAAGTATGTATGTATTTATTTATTTATTTTTTGTGGCTAGGCAGTGGGGTTAAGTGACTTGCCCTGGGTCACACAGCTAGTAAGTGTTATGTGTCTGAGACTGGATTTGAACTCAGGTCCTCCTGACTCCAGGACCAGTGTTCTATCCACTGCACCACCTAGCTGCCCCCAACAAGTATGTATTAATGTTTGCTATGTGCTAAACAGTGTGTTAAGCATTGGAGATACAAATACAAGCAACAACAAAGACAGTTCTGCCCTCAAGGAGCTTCCATTTTAATGAGGAGAGACAGCATATAAAGGGGGTTTGAAAAGAGGGTGGAAAAGGAGGTGCCCACACTAGGGTCTGATGGACAGGTCCAGAGAATCAGAAGTACAGACAAGAGTGAAATGAAACATGGCTAGCCTGAGCACATGCCCAAAATGGAAACCATGGAAGGAACTCGCTGATAGGAGAAAGAGACCAGCATGTGTGTGAGTTGGGTGAAGTTGGGGGAGGGTGTGGCGCAGAGGGAAGGGAAATGTTCCAGATGTTAAGAAGGTCCCAGGCGCTGAGGGACGTTCCAAGGTGAGAAGCAGCTGAGGCATGGCGATGTCCAAAGTCAAAAGCACAGCCAGGAGGGGAACACAGCAGGTCTGACTTTTGGCAGAATCAGTGGTCACATAACCAGGAATCCACAAAATACGTATTATGAGATATTGCTTGAAAGTATCTAATTTTGATGTGGGGAAAGTGCAACAGGTCTCCCCACAGGTTTTTGTGATTAAAAAAAAAAAAAAAAAAGACTTGTGCTGCAGAACAGCTTTAACAGAAAAGCATGGCCTTCCCAATAGTCCTTGCTTCATTCTTTAAAGCAAAGTCTCTGTCAGTCTGACTGATGGGGTGTGTTTTTATGTGTTCTTTTGTAGCCCTTTGAAAGTGTTATGCATTGCATTTGAGGTCCTCCAGGGGTTGCAGTATATGAACCAACATGGAATGGTGCATCGAGCTCTGTCCCCTCACAACATTCTGCTGGATCAAGAGGTAATGTTGCTGAGGGGACTGGGGGGGTACAGGCAGGCAGACGATGAATGCTAGAAACATCCCAGCAACAAGGGACATTGATAAAATAGTGTTGTAAAAGTTTACAAAAGCCTTTATATGTGTCATCTCTGAGCCTCACATCCACCTTGTCAGGCAAGCACTAAAGGCATAATCCTATTTTTATAAATAAAGAAAGAGGCTCAGAGAATTTAGGGGACTTGTCCACAATCACACAGCTGGTACGTGTAGCATGTTAAACAAGCTCTGTTCACTCCCAAGTCCAGCGCTCCCTCCATTACACACAGTGCTTCCACAGAAGAACGTTTGTTTTGTCTTAGAGGTTAGAGATTCCTAGAATCAGTATCCCTTAATGTTTGTTTGGCAGTAAGAAATTATTACAAGAATCTTTAGGTTGTGCCACCCCCAATTCCAATGGATATAAAAATAACATTTAGGTGATTCTTACATCATTTATAAATTGCATAAAGTCACATATTCATCGTTTAAGTGCCCTACTCTCCATGGATTCAGGTCCTTTCCTGGGTCCACTTTTCTGTAACGAATGAAATGATGCCCTTTTCTCCCTTTTTGGAATCATATTTATTTAGATGGTCTCCCAGACTATTTGTTCCACTGCTAAGAAAAACTGGAGTTAAGAACTCTATTTTTGTGTGTTTGTTTACTTTTCCCTCCTGAGATCTCAGTGCTATTTTCTTTCATATTTTTTCAGTAGAGTGCTTCTTTACTTGGAAATTATATGGGGGATTACTGATCTGTCCCACATCCCCTCCAAGAGCAGGAGGGCAGAATTTACAGGAGAAGTTGTAATTTTGTTCAGCGTGCTTAGCATCTGAGAACAGTTGTTGGCAAGCCCCCCTTGAGAATTCAGTTCAGAAGTAATAGTGATAGAAAAGTGAGACTGCCACTTTTCTTTGTTTCCTGCCTCTCCCCTTCATATCTCAAGCTCATAAACCTGGTGTTAGAAGGCACATAACAAAGAACAGTGTTACCAACTTGCGTTTTTCTTAGAGTGGAGTACAATTTTTTTCCTTTTATAAACTAAATTTGTATTGATAGTTTTTTTTTTAATTCTACCCATATTTCCCATTAAATCCTCCCTTCTTCCCGAGGGCCATCCTTAAATAGAATTCTTTTAATCACCTGTATTCATTTAAAAATTCAAGTGACTTGCTAAAACATTCAAAAGCCATAATGTACTGTAAAGGAAGTGATGATGATTATTATAAAAGCCTTAAGAGATAAAAATGCCAAAGGAAAACTTAAAGGCTTGTGAAGATTAGAGTTTTGTTGCTAGCCAGAATGGGTTGCTACCCATTAATAATTGTGCTTGACTTCATGCTTACAAAACACAAGGGGATGCTGCAAAGCTTGATCACTGGCTTAACACAGTCTTGAAGGGTTGAAAACCAGTCATTTCCAGGTAAAGACCCAGCGTCAGGTTTCTTTTTACAGTATAGGGAAATGAAAATTCTTATTGGAAGTAGGTACATGGCATCCCCACCAAGGAGTCCAAAAGAGAAAGGAAAATCTTTAAGATCATGTAGTCACAGGCTAGAACTGAAAGGAACCTTAGAGACATCCATTTCAATTGTTTCACTTTAGAGATGAGGAAATTAAAGGGAACCCAGGTCCTCTGATTCCACAAGCAATGTTCTTGCGACTTTATCTTTCTATCTATCAAGCTATACAGAAAGAGAGAGAGAGAGAGAGAGAGTGAGTGAGTGAGTGAGTGTGCTGATCCTGGAGTTTGGAAGACTCATATTCCTGAGTTCAAATCTGTCCTCAAACACTTACTAGCTGTGTCACCCTGGACAAGTCACTTAACTCTGTTGGCCTCAGTTTCCTTATCTGTAAAATGATCTGGAGAAGGAAATGACAAACTACTCTAGTATCTTTGCCGAGAAAATCCCAGATGGAGTCACAGAGTTGGACACAACTGAAAATGACTGAAAACCTCTCATTTGGGCATTTTATTTTTTACAGCATATCTAAAAATTAAACTTCTATGGCTTGTTTTGTTAGACTTGTGAAAAATTGATGAAATAGTTTTTATCAGTTGACTTGTTGGTGTAATGGGTTTCATTTATCACGTTATTGGAATTTCCTGTGCTACACTTTTTTTCCAAAGATTTCATCTCCTTTTTCTCTTATAGGAACATATTAAACTGGCTAAGTTTGGACTTTACCACATGACAGCCCATGGTGTTGATGTTGATTTCCCAATAGGGTAAGAATAAACATTTTACAACTTTGAGATTTCAGCAATGCTATATCATTTCTATATTTATAAATAATTTTAAAGGATAGTGCTAACAGCATTATGCTTATTTCTACTTGTCATTTGTTTCTCTGTAGATGGATAGCATCTACTTTCATAAGTCCAAGTCTTTCCATATTTTTCTAAATCTACCATCTCATCATTTTCTACACCACAACAATATTCTGACTCGATCACATTCTGTCTGGGAAATTGTGAGTTTTTTTTTCCCTAATTTTTCTTCATTCCCTCTATTCTTGGCTGCATAGGTTTCATTTATATAGGGAATTTTTCATTTAAAATGGTCAAAATGATCCATTTTGCACTTCCACATTGCTCTCATAATATGGTTTAAGGTCTGATACTACTGAATCTAGTTCCTTCACATCTTTTCCCCTGGTTTCCTTGAAGTTCTTGACCCTCTGCTCTTCCAAATGAACCCTGTTATGTTTTTCTGACTCAGTAAGATAATTTTTTAGTAATTTAATTGGGATGGTATTACATAAATAGATTACTTAGGTAAAATTGTCATTTTTTAATTTTATTAGTTTAACTACCCATGCACAATAAATATTACTTCAGTTATAACTTTGCATAAAAAGTGTTTTCTGTTTACATTCATGTAGTTACTGTGTCTGTTTTAGAAGGTAAACTCATTTTTTTTTAATACTGTCTAGTTATTTTATATGGTCTAAAAGTATTGATTAATATGCCTGACACATAGTTATTTAGCAGTAAAGGACAAACTCTTTAACCATCTCCCTCAAATGTGAAAGCATTTTACAAACTTTAGGTGTTGTATACATTTTGTTGTTTCAGTCATATCTGACTCTTTGTGACCCCATTTGGGTTTTTCTTGGCAAGAAAGGCAGTCTTTTCTTGGTAAGGATACTGGAGTGGTTTGTTATTTCCTTCTCCAGCTCATTTTTACAGATGAGGGACCCGAGGCAGACAAGTTTCCGTGACTTGTGCAGAGTCATCTAGCTAGTGTCTGAGGCCAGATTTTAACTCAGGAAGATGAGTCTTCCTGATTCCAGGTCTGATACTTTATCCACTGCACCACCTAGCTGCCACTCATATGTAATTCTAACTATTATTATTATTTTATTATTGTTAAGAGTACCTGAATTTTGCCTGTGTTCTTTTTTTTTTTTTAAAGAGAAAAATTAATGAATAATTCACAATGCCCTAGAAATCAGCAAATCTTGGCCTTCTTTGGATTGACAAGTAGGCCTTTATAGAATTCTGGGCAGGCATTCCACAACAAAGCCCTCTTTCAATGATGAATATAGTTTAATTTCATTTAGAGATAAATATAAGAGCAAGAAAATAAACCAGGATCTTACTAACAGATACCGTTTATGTGTAAAATGTGCAAAGCAGAGCTAAGTGGAACAATGCATTTGTCTGCCCTGAGGGGTTTGAAAATTGAGTCCATCTACATTTGAAAATTTAGCCTCCTGTGTATTGTTACCACTACAGGCTTTGAATTTTCATCATATCACGTGTGACTTGAATTGTCATGGCATGGACCAGAATTTTTTGGATACCTGAGTTCAGATTTGGCTTCAGATACTTACTAGTTGTGTTGATCCTGGGCAAGTCACTTAACCCTGCTTGCCTCAGTTGCTCATCTGTAAAATGAGCTAGAGAAGGAAATGGCAAACCACTCCAGTACCTTGGCCAAGAAAACCCCAAATGAGGCAATGAAGAGTAGGACATGATTGAAATGAGTAAAGAACAACACTGTATGTGTGTGTACAATACACATATACACATATGTATACACGTATGTATTTATACATATACATGTATGTGAATATATAATTCATAATTTTGTATTATGTATGATGTGTATATGTATATAGATATTCACATAGAGGGAGGGAGGGAGGGGAAGGGAGAGAGAGAAAGAGATGGTGAAAAGGACAGAACCTAGTCTTTTGTTGACACAGGGAGATTTGAGTAGAATTTTAGTGAAAATCAGAGCTTATGGCATCAAAATCCATACCTAGAAACCTAAAGGTAGTTTCAAAAAATAACCTTTGCCATTTCTACTGTGTAAAGGAACACATTAGTCTCCAAGAAATACCATCACAACTGTATTTAGTTGAATACGTTTTTATATAAAATGTTCAGTTTCTGTGTGTCACTTTTACTCACCTGTAAAATGAAGGCATGAACTCAGTGGCTTCTAAAGTTCCTTCTAACTCTATATTTATGGTCCTGTGATCGTAGTTTATATTTCATTCTAGAAACTGGGGAGCTACTGATGTTTCTTGAGAATAGGAATGGTGTGGTCATGTCTATATCTTAGGACTTGGTAGAGTCCTGTCTTACCTTGGCAGAGACTGAAAATAGGAAGACCAGTTAGGAGGCTTTTACAGGAGAGGCGATGAGGGCCTGAAGTAGTGTTCTGGATGTGGGGATGAAAAGATGGGGATGGATGTGAGAGATAGCTGTGCAGAAGCATGTAGGGAGTGGGGGAGAGTGAAGAAATGAGAATGAGTCCACGCTTGCCCACTTGCTTCACTAGATATATGATGGTGCTTTTGACCGAAAAGGGGACTTTAGGGAGAAAGGCGAGTGAGTTTTAGGGGAAAGATAAAAGTTCTGTTGTAGTCATGTCGAGTTTCAGATGGCTGTGGGCTAGGTGCAGATGTGTAGATTTAGGAAGCGCAGATGATCATCATTCATGTAGTACCCCCTGATCATGGGCAAACCCAGGGCTCTATCCTGGGGCTTCTTCTCCTTTTCTTCTCTCTTCTTTTCTTTCTCTCTCTCTCCCTCTCCAGCTTCCTTTGGCAGAGGAGTAGGAAGGGGAAAAGCTTCATGGCATGTAATCATTGGCTCTGAGAAAGTGCTTTCTAAAAACATTTCCACCCTGCATGATACTCTTCTTTTCAAACAAACCTTGATGATCACTTTGCATTTAAGCTAGTGATGTGAAATGTCATGGTGGACTCCGGCTCTCCCATGTATACTTTAGCACTAGAAGCTCAGTGATCGAGAAGATCAAAGAGACGTGTCAGTCAGTTGCTCCTCCCTGCAGCCCCAGACAGCACCAGAAAATGCCTGGGATAGGAGGGGTTACAACCAAGGAAATAAAAGTCAGGGAAAACTCCGACAAATGGTCTGAAGCTGGAGGTTAGAGGGGGCCTACACCCACTTGGATCTCCTAGGAACTGAAGCCTGTGGGTACTCTGACCAGGAACATACCATGGGGCTCAAACCTAACCCAATTTCACCGAGCCAAATTCACATAGGTGAGTACTTTGAGCAGGGTTAAAGGGCAAAGTAAAAACAGAAAGGCCATTGTCCACTTCCTGGAAGAAAATCCAAATTAAAAATACCCAGGCACATCATGGGCAAAATTTATAGCTTCCAGCCAAAGAAAAAAATTACTACAGGCATCCAGAAACAGAGTTTGAGTACCAAGGAACCATAGTCAAGATAACATAAGACCGTTATGCAGCTATAAAAAATGAAAATTGATGGTGCAGAATAACTTAATCTGCAAAACAAAGTATAATTCTACAGAGGTAAATATGGACCATTAATAGAAGAGGTGATTTCTAACACTCCTGATATTTTTGAAGAGTTCTGAAAGTGAAATACAGAAGACAAGAGAACTCTAGAAAAGTAAATAAATTTGGCCATGTGTAAGGGGCTAAATGAAGATGAAAGTGTTTACCAACTAGTAAGGAGAGAAGAAACAAGTGCCCCTTTAGAATAAAAAATAATACATATAAACACAGGGTATTATTGGTTTTGTTCTTTTTTTTTGTTAGCTTTAAGAGAGAAAAAAGGGAAAGAAATGAAATAAAGGGTGGTAGAATTATTTTTCACATTTGAGTGCCCAAGAAGAATACACAAAGGAAATGTGTAGGGGAGTGGGCACCTTATGAATCTCACTTTTGGCTAAACTGGACAAAGAAGGGTTGGGCTCTCACTGAAAAATAGGAAGTCCAATAAGGCAATAGGCAGACACAAGGAGAGAGGAAAAAGAGGTTTTAAGAAGGAGGGTGGGGTTGGGGTAGCAATTGTCAGAAAGCAAAACAAACTCCAGCTTTGGAGGATCATAAAGAGAAGATTAAAATGATTAAAGGGACGTGTAAAGCCAATGCTCGGCGTCTGGATGAGGTTTCTAGAAAAGAACTGGAAACCAAGTGGGTTTCCCTCAGCAGGGGAATGATTGAACAAGTTATGGAACATGGATTTGATGGAATATTATTACAGTAGTGTAAGAAATGACAGAAGGGACAGATTCAGGTAAACTTGGGGAGACTCGTATGAACTGATGGAAGAGTGAAATATGTATGAATATGAAATATGTAATAACTGCAGTGTTATAAAGGAAAACAACTTTAAGAACTCTGAATGGTACGGTCATGGCTCCAGAAGGTTGAAACCTTCCGAAACCAGTGAAGCCAGGTTTCCCGCATCTTAGCAGAAAGGTGATGGACTGGCAATGCAGAATGAGCCAGACGTTTTTTAGTCTCAGCCATAGATGTATCCTACTTACTTGTTAATAGGGAGAACTTAATTTTTGTGAGGGGGTCAACTGCAAGGGATAAGGGAGGTCCAAAAAAGAGAGAGAGGAAGAAAGAAAGAAAATCAAATCAATCAAAAAGGGACACAAATAAGGAAGGCAGTTGGCACTGTGTTTAATCTAATATATACTTTAAATAACAAGTTGCATGTAATTGCAATACATCATTTATATACAATCCTTTTTTCTCTTTGTGTACGGAAATGTTTATATTTGTTGATGTTTGTCAAGTTCCTATTTAAAAAGAGAAAATTTAAAAGCAAGCCTTTATGAAAGGACTGATTTAAAAAAAATAAACTTTAAATTTCCCCCTCAAAATGCTCTGGGTTTTAATGGGACCAGACAGTGAGGAGGAGAGGAAGTGACTTGCTCAAAGCATACCAGGCAGCTTGAAGAATTGAACCTGAATTTAAAATTGGAAGTGGTAGAAGTGGTCTTAGGTTACCACGAGGTCTAGCTTCCTTTGAAGTCTGAGACCTTTAGTGTCGCCCGAAACTATCAAAGAGCAAAACATGAAACATTATCCAGGAAAAATAAAGTGATCAAATAGCTAAGGCATGAAAGAAAATATTTACCCCAGAAGAAACTTGCAGTTGGTTCAAAAAGCAAATTTTAAGGAACCAAAAAAAAAAAAGTAAACTGTTAACATCTGTTTTAGGGTTCTGAGCTTTCATTTCAACTGGCCAAGTAGCTAAGTATATTGTTAAAACACCAGAGAGAGAGAGAGATGATGATGATGATGAAAGCCTGTGTTCTATTTACCTGGTCAGCTGCACTCAAAGATATTTTCTACTTATTGTCATTGCTTGTTTGTGACCTCCTTAAGAACAGGGACATTCTTGTGCTTTTCTTTGTATCCTCAGTGCTTAGCACAGTGCCTGGCACATAGGTAGGCACTTAATAAGTGTTTGTTGAGTGATTACAGTTTAAGAGAAAAAAAACAAATGAATAGCTGGCTGAAAAGACCAGAACCAAGAACATTACCAATCCATATTATTTTAATTCATTCTCATCCCTTCTTAAAAGAATTAATATTCCTAGAGCTGAGCTTTAGTATTGATGTTCACTTTTTAAGAGATCACCAGTGAGAAGTTTTTGAAGTGGCAATGCTACTATGCTACTCATTGGTTAACAACTTTAGTAGAGTAAGAAGGAGTCTCAGAATTTATCTTATTCAACCTTCTCTTTTTACAGATGAGGAAACTGAGACTCAGGGATTTTTAGTGACTTGTCCGGGGTTGCACAAATAGGGGGTATCAGAGGCAAGATTTAAAACTAGGCCCTCTTATATACCTATATCATCTTCTTGGGGCCATATCATCTATCATCTTTTGTCCTGAGTTATGACAGTTTCTCTCACCAATTATATATTCTTAGAAATATCACACATCGGGAGTAGCTAGGTGGCATAGTGGATAGATCACCAACCCTGGAGTCAGGAGGACCTCATCAAATCTGGCCTCAGACACTTGATACTTACTAGCTGTATGACCCTGGCCAAGGCACTTAACCCCATTGCCTAGGAAAAAAGAAGAAAGGAAGGAAGGAAGGAAAATAAATATCACACATCCCTGTGGAAAACTAATGGCCCATTTGGGGTTGGTCACCATACTCATTCACCAGAGATGTAACAAAGTAGAGTAATGGATAGTTAATTTGCATTTCTGGAAAATAAAAATAAATTGACAAAGTAATAGATTGGTATTATCTTCATTCTAAATTTTTTAAAGTGATTTTTACTTATTTAATTTTGCTACATTTTTCTGTATAAATAAATAGTACAGGCAGCATTACGTAGAGGAAGGGGAGAGGAAGAAGGAATGACTGTTTCCCGGGATCCACATTGTGCCATGTCATTAAGGCATCTAAACAAGGGAAGCTAGGTGGCATGGTGGATAGATTACCAGGCCTGGAGTCTCAGACGCTTACTAGCTGTGACCCTGGACAAATCACTTCACCCTGTTTGCCTCAGTTTCCTCATCTGTAAAATGAACTGGAGAAGGAAATGGCAAACCACTCCGTGTCTTTGCCAAGAAAACTCCTAAATGTGGTCACAAAGAGTCAGACAACGCTGAAACGACTGAACAACAACAAATAGGTGCTGATGTTCTCAACTTAACCTAGCGATAAACGAAAAAAGAGCATAAACAAACTAAAATACAGCAGAATAAAATTCTATCCACATTGAAATTAACTGGTTTTTGTGTCTGTGTCTGTGTGTTTACTTAAAACTATATTAATTCCACTTCTCTCTTGAAATCTAAGTACAAAATTCTCGAATTCCCTTGTAACCAAAGGTTGGATTACTTCACAAAATAGTGGAATTTCCGAGTTCCAAGAGAAGATAAATGATAAGGTACACTTTAAGCAGTATTTTAAAGGAGAAAAGATAAGACTGTGAGAAAGTAGTAGCCATTTAGAGGAAATGGGAGAGGCAATACGAGAAGAAGTAGGGAGGGAAGAAAAAACAAGGCATTAATGCAAGAGGAAGAGGCAAAGAATATTAAAATCTTTTTAGGCCTATAATGACTTTTGGATCCCTAGGGAGGTAGCACTCTCCCAATTCCTGTGGTTGGTTCACAGTTCCACTTGGCTCTTGCCAAGGTCATCTTGTTCTTGAAACTTCCTGTGTTTGTATTAAGAGCATATTGTTTTATCTTCCAGAGTTCTTGATCTGTTTCGATTAAGTGTTAGTTACATTAATATCCTCTTGTAGGTACCCATCTTACCTAGCACCTGAGGTCATTGCACAAGGAATCGCCAAACCCAGTGACCACACACCACGTGAAAAGCTATTGCCTTCTGGCCCCAAATCTGACGTATGGTCCCTTGGAATTATTTTATTTGAACTTTGTATGGTATGTAACCAACGGCTGGGTTGAAGAATTGGAGGGGACTATTAGACCAACAAAAACAGTTTTTATAGATTTTGGGATAATATTTTTTTAGAACAAAGTAGTATAAATCTGTTTTCATTTCCTGCATATATAACTGGGGAAAATATCATATTTTTACATTGACTGGAATTAAAAAAAAAAACCACAACATTTATCTATACCGAGTTATTTGCATACAGAGTATCCCCAAAGTCTCTGAAGTTTGAAATTATTTGTCTTAATATTCACTATTAATAAATTATATCTAATTTATTAATTGCTAATATCCTTAATTTTAAAATTAAAATTATTAAAAACCTTAATAAAAGCTTTAATGTCATTTAAGCATTAATACTTAAAAGTGAGACTTTTGGGACAACCTATCTTTGCAGCTCTATTAGGAATTCTTGAAAATACTTTGAAAATATTATCTCATTAATTCTTACAGTTTCTGTGTTGTGGGTATATACCATTCTTTCGTTTTTCACAGATAAGAACCACAAATGAGAAATATCAGTCCAAGGGGCAGCGAGGTGGTGCAGTAGATAGAGCACCAGCCTTGGATTCAGAAGGACCTGAATTCAAATCCGGCCTCAGACGAAACACTTGACACTTACTAGCTGTGTGATCCTGGGCAAGTCACTTAACCCCATTGCCTAGCCAAAAAAAAAAGAGAAATATCAGTCCATAATGAAACTTATTTTTCTCCCATTAGTTGTCTTCTGAATCTTTTCTGTAGTACTCGCATTGAGATTATCCCATTTTATAATTCCAAGTGTTATTAATAAACCTCTATTTACGTAAACTTCAGGGAGCCATTCTGCTCTAATAATAGTAATAAGAAGAATAATTCGTATGTACATACTATTTTTTGTTTTGCAAAGCTTTTTTTGTCCCACGTCTCCTTTGATTTTTAAAATAATCTTGTGCATTATAAATTGATAGTAAGTGTGTGAGGCATGATTCAGACCTGTCTCCCTGACTCTCAGGTTCAAGTTCAGTCCACTGTCCTCTATGCCACACATACTGGCATAGTGCCTCCTTTTGGGTTTTTATTTTAATCTTTGTACCTACAGCCCCTACATCAGCGCTTAACAAAGAGTAGACACTTAGTAAATACCTATTAGATTGGATTGCATTGCATTGAATTGGGTCCTCTTTCCACCAACTCCTTTGATGATGAGCCTTTTCAGACTTACCCAGTATGATCTTTGGATGACAAACATACAGCATGAAGATGCATAAAGCCTTCCCAGTTTGGTAGGACCTACTCAAGCTTCCTTTTCTTGGCATGACCTTTGGAAACCCCAAATTACTCCCATGGCACAGTGAAGAAGGAAAAGGTCAGAGAATCGCAGAATCTTAAAGGTGGAAGAACCTCAGGGTCATCTAGTCCAGAGGTGTCAAACTTGGGAACCGTGGATAGCAAATTAAAATGTCATTAGAAAATGTTTAATAAAATAAATAAAAATACAACCTAAAGTAGATAATGTTAATTTGTGGTTTTCTTAGTCAGCCTGTAGCCCATAGGGATCCTTAGGTTCAGTTTAGTGGCCCCTGTTTATATTTGAGTTTGGCACCACTGGTATAGGGAACACCCAGGTGAGAAAACTCCCTCTACCAATGCAGTTGAACAGTTTCCCTGAAACTTAAAGCCTTGGATTTTTGCCTGGAGCACCGAGAGGTTGTTGGGTCACCTGCCCAGGGTCACACAGCCATTATGTCGTAGAGGTAAAACTTAAACCCAGTTCTTCTTGACTTTAAGGCCATCTTTTTATTCACTATGTTTCTCCATGTTTTTAGCAACTTTTTTTTTTTTACTTTTAGAAATATTACTTGGATACTATGTGTTTTGTTATCAAACATAAGATTTTAAAATATTTAAATTGTATTTTTTAGTTTGACTTTAAATAGATTTAATAAGGCAATGGGATAGTAATAGAAAGCCTAAGCAGAAAAAACTAGAATGAATATCTCTATTAAAATTGTTTTCAGTTAAAAAACTAAAAGGCTTCATTGGAAAAAATGCAAACATTTACTTTCATTTATTCATCTAATATTTCATTATTTCATTTAGGGAAGGAAGTTATTTCAGGGCCTGGATATTTCTGAAAGGCTAAAGTTTTTGCTTACATTAGGTAAGTGTCATAAGTTTAATATTCTATCTTTTGTTCATGAAGTTACTGCTCTGGACTTGTGGTGCTGTGGTAAGAACACTGGATTAGAAGTTACAAATCTTCAAACCTGGGTTCAAATCTTAACACTAACATTTACTGTATGACCTTTGGCAAGTCACTTAACCTCTCTTTCCTTAAATGTAAAATGAGGGAGCTACCTAAGAGCCTATAGCTTGTGATAAGTACATACTTAGAGTTCTTTTCCTGTGGGAATAAAGAGCATTCATGTATTGAAACATTTATGTTCTGTTTCTAGGTTTCTAATATATATATAATGGCTTGGGAGAGTTGGAGATATAATTCTTGAATGTCATAACAGTGCTTTCTTCATTTTCTTGTCTTATGACCGACCAACAGTGCCATTGGAAATTGACCAATTTCTAAATAATGATATTTATATAGCACTTTAAAGTTTGCAAAGTGCTTTTATGTGTGTTAACTCATTTAATCCTCACAACAACCCTGTGAAATAGGTGCTATTATCCCCATTTTATAGATGAGAAAACTGAGCCATCAGAGGTTAAGTCACTTGGCCTAAGGTCAAACAGGTAGTAAGTGTCTGGGACGAGATTTGAACCTAGATCTTCCTCACTCCAAGTCCCATGTTCTAGTAATCATTTTGCTGCCTAGTTATGCCATACAAATAAGAATGAATAATATGTTAATAATTAATGAATCAAACAATAATGAAAAGTAAATTCTCTTTGCTTGAATCATGTTGTGTTTTGGAATACATCTCTTAATACTATTAAGACCCACTGCCTCTCTGTTTGGAACAAATGTGATAAAGAATTAATATAGGATAATTAGAGTCCTTTCCTTAATCTATGAGAAAGGTTCATTCCCTTCCCCCATCCATATATAACAGGGCTACATGTTTGCATTCAAACTCATATATGGATAAATGAAAAGAGAGCATACATCCAAAACTAATAATCATGTTAACAGATCTGTATCCCAAGTCCAGAAATAAGTTTAGAGTATAAGTCACATGAATAAAATTGTATGAACTTGTTCTGTACTTAAATCCAAAGATTTTATCAGTATCAAGAATTATTTTTTCGTTCTCTAAAATAGTCTACAGTGCCTGGTTCTATCCATTGGAAACATCTTAATTCCCAGGGAAGATGGCTCTCTGGGAAAGTGAATAGGGAGGGATACAAGGGGTGATTTAGGTGATGTAAAAACAAAAAAGATATTTATTTTTTTAAAAAGATTCCATGCTTTCATATGTTCTAATTTGTTTTTTGGGGGGAGGGGGAGAGCAAGCCTTCTGACATTTGATTTCATCAGTGGAGGGAATGAAGGATGAGGAAGGTCCCTCTACCATTACAAGTCAGGGTCTCCTCTCCAGTTGCTCTGCAAGTTTTAGAAAATTGCATAGGTCCCCAAGAAGTTCAGTAATTTGTCTGGGGTCACACAGGCAGCATGTGCCATGGTAGGGCTGGAACCCAGGTCTTCCTGAATCAGAGTAGGGAAGGCAGAGGAAGGAAATGAGCATTTATGTAGCATCTACTGTGTGCCAAGCACTGTGCTATGTGCTTTACACATAATATCTCATTTGATCCTTATAACAACCCTGTGAGGTAGGTACTGTTACTATTCTTATTTTATGGTTGAGGAAACTGAGATAAATAGAGGAAAGTGACTTGCCCAGGGTCACACAGATAGGAAATATCTAAGGCTGCATTTGAACTCAGGTCTTCCAGACTCCAGGCCCAGCACTCTGTCTACTTGTGCCACCTAACCGCCCCAGAGCAGAAAGCCAAAACCTACTTCCTAATCACTTTCTCACACTGTCTCAGTGTTATAACTTTTAACCGTACTTAAATTGAACCTACACTTTATAAGAAATAATTTGCAGCTTTCATTTTTTTTAAATAAAAGAATCAGAAGGGAAAAGTTAAAATCCTAAGAATTTTAATATCCTGTACTATATAGTAGACTAAGTTAAAACACATTTTTTAAAAAAATCACAAATTTTAAGATACAAGGGGGCCTGTGATTTTTTTTTTTATGTGTGTCTTTTATGTGACTTAATAAAGTTTTGTTTTCATTCTCATGGCTTTTCTGTTCTAGGTTGTATGGATGATACTGTAACAGTCTTGGCTGAGGAACATGGTTGTCTGGATATCATAAAGGTTAATAATAAGCTTATAAATAAAAGATACTCATTTAACATAGCTTTTTTAAAATCATGTATTAGTCTCAGATATTTCTCTCATTTTACTTAAATAATTCAAACAAAATTTCTTAGGAAAAAGTTAATTTTCAATCTTAAAATTATTCTTAGTTTAGTTCGATGTTTTTCCACAAAACCTATTGTGTTAAGCTATTTTATTATAAATGTACACATGCATACATATAAAATATATGAAATGTATAGAAAATGAGTAATTTGGGTTTTTTCCCCTAAATTAAAAACCTCTGTTGTATGAAGAGAACCCACTAAATACTTTAGAGTAATGCAAAACTTTAAATAATCTTTTTCTCTTTTGATTTTCTAGGAGCTCCCAGAAAATGTGATTAGTCTCTTGAAGAAATGCCTCACTTTCCACCCTTCTAAGAGGTTAATGACTCACTTAAATTTCTCCTGATGAGGGCAATGGTAACACTACTGATTTGGGTCTTGATATTGAGAATCACAGTGGACACAAACTTAGTTTAGCAGATTTTATTTTCTTATGTGGAATAAAACTATTAGCTCATATTTTTGTACTAATGCTTTAGCGTTTTCAAGGCTGTGCCATCACTGAAAAGACATCTTTGGAGTAAATATTTGGAGTATAGCATTTCCTTTCGAAAGTAGCAACACACCTCTCTTGTTAAACAGCAACATATCTTTTACCTCTTTTTCTACTTTAGTTTTTGTATTGATTGATTACATAGAAAACAAACATTGAAATAGAATTAGGTGACTAGATGTAATGAAATGATTCCACCACGTCCAAGTGGAGTGTCACCTAAACCACTGCAGAAGGGGAAAGAGGGAGCAGTATCAGGGCAGCTAGGTAGCCCAGTGATAGAGCGTTTGGGCCTTCAGTCAGAAAGACCTGAGTTCAAATCCAGCCTTAGACACTTATTAGCTGTGTGACCCTGGGCAAGTCACTTAATCTTTGTTGCCTCAGTTTCCTCATCTGTAAAATGGGGATGATAATAACAACACCTTCATCTTGTTGTGAGGAACAAATGAGATAATTGTTGTAAAGCATTTAGTACAATGCCTGGCACATAGTAGGTGCTATCTAAATGTTAGCTATCATCACCATCATCATCATTGTTATTTCCAGAAAAGGTAGCAGGAGACTTAGAAATATGAAAGACAGCCAATTAATGATCATTGCAATCTAAAAAGAATTCTTAAGGTCTTGGTAATTTCGGCTTTCTCACTAACTAGGGAAGTCATTTAACATCTCTGGGCTTCGTTTTCCTCATTCATAAAAGAAAAGAGCTAAGCTAGATCTCTCAGGCCACCAACAGCTCTCAACTTGAATGACTCTTGACTTGATTGCTCTAGATATTTGTGGGGGTCTATGGGGTATTCAGGAGGACTAGCAGCTCTGGTGTGAGGGCTGCTGAGCCCTTTTCAGGGCTGCTTATCCACCTAAAGTGTCCACCTTCACCCAGCTCCTGCCGGTAGCTCCAAGAAGCTATAGCGTGCACTGTTGCCATACCCCAGTCAACTATCTCAGCAGGTGGGCTGACCCAGCTTGAGGATAAACCATAGGCCTCAAACTCATCAGTGAGTTAGGGGGATATCACCCCAAAGAATATGAAGACTTCTCCTGGAGGAATGGGCAGATGAGAACAATTTGTTCCAAAGGTTTTGATGGCAGCCGAAGCAGGCACTATGGGGCCCTTAGAGCTTGGTCTTACATTGAAGATGCCAAGGCCATCCACTGCACCACAGGCCATCGTCAGTCATCCGGACTTTAGTCCTACCACTGGACTTTGATAACTGGAAGAAAAATTGAAGCTGACAACTTTGTACAACTCTGCCTCACTTACATCCAATTCATGCATGAGTCAAAAGACACCTCCTTATGATGTCATTGGTTCTCTTCAGAAGTAAAGGATGAAAACCAACAATAGATATTTGTGCTCAGCAGCATGTTTTATTTTCTGTGAGAGTCAACTTGATATATGAGAAAGAACTCTGGATCTCCAAGAGTCCACTCACAGCTTTATTATTTAATAAATGTTTTATGTTGGGCAAATCACTTGATCTGTAAAATGGAAATAATAATACTTTATCTACTTCACAACATAGTTATGAGGATCAAATAAGATAATATAAATCAATTGCTTTATTACTATAAAGTTTTGTATAGATTTTAATTATTAATATTATTTACTTTAATGTTTCAGATTTTCTGAAGCTTGGAGAGGTCAAGTGACTTGCCCACATGTGTCAGAGACTTGAACTTGGGTCTCCCAGATTCGGAGGCTGATTTTCTATCAGCTATGCTGTCACTACAAGGCAATTCTCTAAATCATAACTTGCAGAGCAGGCACTGATTTGCATTAGGGAGCATTATCACTTAAAGTTCCCTCTGCTATTGAAATGACATGCCAGTACCCCCTACTATGCTCCCCCTCTTCCACAAACCCCAAATATTTCAAATTAGCCTGCCCTCCAAGTCTTAACAGGCAGTCTTTGCAAGTTTCTGTAGCCAAAACAATTCATCACCTTCTAGAGATGAAGTTAATGAGATATTCTGCAATTTTAATTATTCTGCTGAATTGTACGCTCTGCTAGTTAAGGAATTTTAAAATGACTTTTATTTTTACTTTGTATTTTAAATGTGTCTCTCAAGGCCAACTCCAGATGAGTTACTCCGGGACAAGATATTCAGTGAAGTGTCACCTTTATATACACCCTTCCACAAACCCGCCAGTCTATTCTCATCTTCTCTGAGGTGTGCTGATTTAACTCTGCCTGAAGACATCAGTCAACTATGTAAAGGTAAGGCATGGGAGAAAAAAATGATTGGGGCCTCTTTTAAAGAAGGCGCTGTCGTTTCGGTTGTTAATTGGCCAACTGTAGAGAATCAACTGTCCATTATATTAATGAGATTTTTATAACTAGTTAATTATTTGGAAATGATTATTTCTGGAGGTGCTTATAATACCATTCAGGCTGAGATCTGCTAATTGCCAGTGAGCTGGGGCTTAAATTCCTACAGTATTGGCTTGGAAAAAAACCTCAGTGCTCATATTAGAAGCTGGGCCTCTGGATTCCTAGTACAGTACTCATTACACTGAATTTCCTAATAATCAATCAATCAACAAGCTTTTATTAAGTGCTTTTTATGTTCCAGGCATAGTGGTAGACTGTAGAGATAAATATAAAAATGAAACACTCTTGCCCATTGAGGACATTAAATTCTACTGGGAAAAACAAAATGTTTCCACATTAACAGATACCAAAACAGATTCAATATAATTCATGGCAGAGAGATGCTAGAAGCAGGAGCATCTGGAAAAGCTATATGAAACAGAAGGCATTCGAAGAAAGACAGGGATTCTAAGCGAGGGAGATGAAAAGGGAATGCTTTCTAAACATGGGAGACAGACTCTAAAGCCATGAAGATGGGAGATTGGATATCTTGTGGAAGTAACACTAAGAAAGCCAGTTTGGCTAACTTTTTCAACACATGATGAGAATTAGCACATAATAAGATTGGAAAGGTATTTTGGGGCCAGGTTGTGAAGAGCTTTAAATGCCAAGTAGAGGAGATTGTATTTGATCCTAGAAGCATCAGGAAGCCATTGATGTTTATTGAGAAGAGAGGCATAGTGAGAAATGTACTTTGGGAAAATTACTTTGGAAACTGTGTGAAATAAGTTGTAAAGGGGAAAGGCTAGAGACCAGGAGTCCAATGAGGAGGCCATTGCAATAGTCCAGGCAGAAGTTCCTAAGTGTTTGAACTTGGGTGGTGACCACATGAGTACAGAGAACAGATGTTGTGAAGGCAGAAATGACAAGATTTGGTGACTGAATGGCTTTGTCTGGTAAGGGGTAGGGAATTAAAAGTAAATTATGAAAAAAAAATTTTTTTAAAAGAGTAAATTATGAGGTTATGAAACTGGGTGCCTGGAAGGATGGTGATGTCCTAGAAAGAAATAGAGAAGTTTGGAAAAGGGAAGATTTTGAGGAGAAAGTTGAGTTTTGTTTTAGACATTTTTTTGAGATGTCTATGGGACATCTAGTTTGAAATATTCGCTAGTCAGTTGGAGAAGTACAGAGACTAGGGTTTGATATGTAGATTTGGACATCATTTGCAAAGAGATAATAATTAAACCTGTGGAGCTAATGACATCACTAAATGAGGAAATATATAGAGAGAGGAAAATAGGGACCAGAACAAAGTTTTGGGGCACATGCATAGTGGGAATGACATGGATCCAGCCCAGTGCCCTATCCACTGCCCCACCTAGCTGGGCCCACTTAATTGGCAGTTCCATTTAATCATTTTGCAAGCATAATACTTCTCAGGGCAAGCTTTTGAAATCCCACACTCATCTGGGAGGGTTTGTATGTGCTGAACTTGCAAACAGATTTCCAAAAAACAAAACAAAAAGCCAACAGAAAACAGATTTCCTGAATTACGGTTTTGGTTAATGTATACCCTGTTTACTAATGAAGTAAAATGTGCATTTTAACTGAAGTGGACAACACTTTTGTTCATGTCTTTCTGGATAGTTTGCATTGTATTTTCTGGTAGTTTGCCATGAAAGAAAAATTCAGATAAACATACCTTTTCTTATAGAAAACTAAAAATCCAAATAATTATTCTGTCTGCTTCTGACCCCTGGTGCTTAAATAGTTTAGGTTTTCCTAAAGGAAATGACTACTATTTAGTTGGTATGCACCTTTAAGAATGTAGGATGCATAACCTTCATTGTTTGCTTGTATTAACAGCAGAAAGAAAATGATAATTCATTGTCTTTTGACTTCTGTTGATAGATGCTGATAGTGATTACCTAGCAGAAAGATCAATTGAAGAAGTTTATTACCTCTGGTGTTTGGCTGGAGGAGATTTGGAGAAAGAGCTTGTCAACAAGGAAATCATTCGCTCCAAACCACCTATCTGCACACTCCCTAAGTAAGCAAAGAAAAACATCTTGGGGGAATGGAATGGGATCGTGGGAGTAACATTTACAAAAAAACTGTGGTATATTTTTTTAACCGTTCTGACTCAGTAGCTATGGGAAGCAGTTCGAAGTTAACACCAAGTTCAGTCAGGAGCCAAAGTCTGTAATCTCAACATTCCCATTAATATTTTATGTTCTTGTGTTCTTTGTAATTATTTTTGTAATTTTAGGAATGACTTCCCTCTCTTGTCTTGTTGTCTTTGTTGAATTTAAATCATGATTATTAAAAAGCATGTTGATAGGAATTAATGTTAATGGTTGAATCAGGAAATAAAATGCCTGGAACGTAGTAGGCATGTAATAAGTTAGTTGACTTGCTGGGAGAAAGAATGTAATTACTCTTGATGAAAACAGGATGCTGATGCAATTTTTTTTTTAATTAAATTAGGTTAGCAGCCATATCATGTTGATTTCAAAGCCTATCGTTATTGAGATTAAATCTACCGAACTAGAGATTTACGTGCTGTAAATCAGGAGGAAAGTGGTAAAAGCAGGGAGCACTATATGTAAGAGTGGTCACTATTACCTTCCTGGATTTTGTTTGACCCATACTATTCCCACTTCTACATCCTATTGGCAAACATCATCTCTTGAGCAATAGAATGTACTGTCAAAATTAGGTTGAATAATTTGAAACATCTGATGAAATAATTTGTTTCAGTGACTTTTTTTCCCTCTCTTTTTTTCATAACATGTTAAATTATAAGCTTGGACCTATCAATGTTTTTTCATTGGTTTCCATTTGAATTGACTTCTAAATTATTAGTGTGGGTAATGTTCATTCATTTGCACAAATAAGTACTTCTGTATAGGAAGTTCTTTAAGAAGAGGGTGTGAGGAATGTTTTTGATTCTGAAAAACTTTTCTGATGAACCCTTTAAAATCTTAAATAATATTTTTGATTGTTCCTGTACTACAAGGCGTTCTCATTTATCTTCATTACAGTAGTCTCAGTGCACACATACAAGATTTCTCATTGTTATGGTATGATGACTTTCCTGTGTAGGTCGAAATACTCATGGGAGTAGTTTTAGCACTATACCCAAAAGAGCAGTAGAAACCCGCCCTCTTGTGTTCCTTCATGTGCTGTTATTTTAAGCTTGAATGTGACATTTAAAGTGTAATAAAAGGGTATTTCAGAAGTCTAGTGCAGCTTTAAGATGTGAAGGCTTAAAATTGTACCAAGACTTTTGTAACACCAAATACGCATACAAAAAGGGATCTGAAAAACCCAGTGTACTTGAGCTCATCTCATCCAGGAGTGAGAGATTTCACATAAATTCACACCTTAAACTCCTTAAAATTGTTTTTCTTTCCTGTTTGATGGAGCATAGATTGATGTTTAGTTTGAGTTTCCTTTGTGAAAGAAGCAACAAGTCAAGTTTAATGTGCATTTTAAAAAATATTGCTAGAAATCTATTTTGCTTGTCTTTCTTTTCTAGTTTTCTGTTTGAAGATGGTGAGAGCTTTGGGCAAGATCGCGATAGAAGTTCCCTTTTGGATGATACCACTGTGACGTTGTCTCTCTGCCAACTAAGAAATGTAAGAAATCAGTTATGTGTTGACATTTAATTTAAGTGCCATATTAAAGTATATTATCAGTAGATTTTTATCACTGTATAGTTTTATGAAGTTGGTTTGGGTGATTTAAGTGACAACATATTTCTTTTAAGTCAAACCACATTTTAACTAGATTGTATGTAGAATGTTTTGGAAGGAAATGCTTTCCCTTATTACTTGAACATGGAAAGTGTGTGGGGTTTATTAGGATTTTATCAAAGAAAATTATCATCTTTAGTAAATGAACTAGTTTAATTAGGGAAATATCTGCTTCATGATTTTCATACTAAGATATTTCTATCACATGAATTCAATTTATAAATCATAAGTTTAATTCAAATACTATTTTTAAATGACTCAGCACGTAGATTAAGACCCCAGTAAAAATTACTTGAAATATACCCCCAATGGTTCTTCATAACCATCAAGGACTTTGACATATCTGAATTTTTGCTTTTAGGAAGCAATTTAAAACAAAACTAGTCAATTACAGATTTCGTTATCAGTAGCATGCTGTCAGAGTTAAAGGACACATCTCTCTTAACAATCAGTGAACTGCTTTTGAGTCTAATATCTTTTGTAATAGGATTTATGTAGGTGTTTGTTGGGAAGTATCTGTTGTGACAAAGTATATCAATACATTTTTAAAAAACCTATTAAATGGAAAAAAATAAGGTGTATGCACTTTGTGTACACATCTCTGAAATGCATATGTCATTTTAATTGCATTTATTTTTAATGCTGAAAAATCAAGTAAATGATGTTCTTTTTTATTTTGTCAGTCATAATAGCTAAAATTATATCCGCAGGTCATAGGGGTTTTAGGTACTAAGTGTAATAAAGTTCATTCTTTTTGTATGGAATATTTAAATATGCAATATTCAATAGTATAATCACATAAAATATTACTTAAGCATATATGATTATATAATATATACATATGCAATATATTCATACATGTATACACATGTGTATACACATGTTTTTATTTGTGTTGTGTATCTAAAAGATATTTATATATACTTTGAGACATTTTCCTTTTTAAATACCAGCCAAGAAAGTTAGTCATATCTTTCTGGGAAATTTTTAGCCATGTACTTTACCTTAAGAGGAGATAATAGACGATAACTTAAGAATATAAAAACTAATATACTCCAGTGGACTAGGAACTCACACAGTACAATTTTCTGTTCCTGACAGGGACTTTGTGAGAAACTAAGGCAATTGATTAGAAGCTATTGGTTTTAAAGGAGATGGTCTTTTTTGTTTTTTGTATTTCTTTTTTAAAAAATTTTAATTAATTTTTAATTTTCAACAGTCACTTCCATAGGATTTTGAGTTTCAAGTTTTCTCCCTCTCCCCTCCTGCCTCCCTTCACAAGACGGTGCGCAATCTGATATATGTTCTACATATACATTCCTATTAAACATATTTGCACATTAGTCATGTTGTAAAGAATTAGAACCAATAGGAGAAACCACAAGAAAGAAGCAGCAAAACAAACAGAAGGAAAAAAAAAAGCAAATAGTATGCTTCGATCTGCATTCAAACTGCATAGTTCTTTCTCTGAATGTGAATAGCATTTTCCATTATGAGACTTTTGCAGATGTCTTAGATTCTTGCATTGCTGAGAAGGGCTAAGTCTATCAAAGTTAGTCATCACACAACATGTCTGTTACTGTGTACAACATTCTCCTGGTTCGAGATAGTCTTAACTTGGAAAAAAAATATAAGGAAAAATTGCAGAGAATGAAAATGCTCTCTACTGTAAACCGTAATAATTGATTGAAGGGTAAATAATTTAGCCAATCAGTTGTTTTCCATTGCACCTACAATATGCAAGTCCCTATGTTGTGAAGGAGATGGAAAACTTTTAAAATATATGATTCTTTCTCTGGAGGACTTTTCAAGATAGTTTGGAAGGTAAGATGTAGACATGTGGAAAGATAGGTTACATTATAAAGCAGAAAATGAGATACAGAAATATGAGAAAACTGGTTTTACTGATTTTTTTTCACTGAATTAAAACTGAATGTTTTAATTTAAACACAACCTAAATTTCTACATCAGCCTCCAGTTTCCAGGTTCACTAGCATTTCTGTTCTTGAAACTGAAATCTATTTTTCCTACAACCGTGGCATAAGTAAGTTGGCAATATTTTAAAACCCAGTATAAATTTACATGTGAATCATCATATTAGCATGCAGAAACCAAGTGATATTTTACATGGGTCTCCTAAACCATGGAACTGGCTTATATAACAGATGTTTACCTTCTTAATGCATAAGAACATGAACAATAAAAACCTTACTTTTTTCATTAATTAAAAGTTTTTTAATCAGTAAAAATCCTACTGGATTCTATGCAGACTAGGATAAATGCATGGAGCTTTCATTTAGGAAAAAAATACAGGTAAATTTTTAACTAATCCTTTAGGCAACTCCCAGTATTAATTCAGAGAATTTTCCTTGATATTCCTTTGGAATCCTGCAAACACCATGAATGAAAGAGCGCCGGTGTAGTGAAGAGAAGATCAGTGCAAAGGAGACTGAGCCCTGGCTCAGACCCTAGAGGAGAAATCATTCTACTCTCAAGTTAGGAGGGTGAACTTCACAGCAGGGGGCCATGGCCAAGAAGCCATTAAATTTGATCAGACTGCTTAGAGCTTATCTGTGGGTTTACTCCTCTGCTACTTGCCCTGTCATGCTTTTGAAGAATCCTTAGAGTTCTGGTTGTTATTACTGGGGGAAAGGTGGAATTCTAATGATTTTTGGTGGGAAAATTAAAGACAGAAAACTGATTTGCACCTAAGAATAGCTAATTATATAATAATAGCTAGCATTTCTATAGTGCTTTAAGGTTTGCAGTGTGCTTCACACTTTATCCTTTATCCTAACAACAATCCTTGGAGGTAGGTGCTATCACTACCCCCATTTTACAGATGAGGAAACTGAAGCAGACAGACTTTAAGTAATTTGCACAGGGTCATTTTCACTAGCAAATGTCTGAGGCCAGATTTAAACTCAGGTTTTACTGACTCTAGATCCAGCACCTTATCTATAGTGCCACCTAAGCTGACTCCTTTTGCACCTCTTAATTTATCCTAATATGTAAGAAATGCCATTTACTAGCATGTTTAGCTATGCCTGAACGTTAAAGCAAAAAGGATTCTGGATTTTGCTTTAAATAAAGGATGTTTATGAAAAATAGTCAAGTTGTATTACATCCCCTTCTATTACCTTTCCACATATGCTTTGGAAAATACTTTATCTTTTTACTTGGTTTAAAAACTAATATTGGTTGTTTTATAATGTGTTTGGCCAAATGTCACAGCAGATGGCTAATACCAATGGGATATATTGAGAGAAATCCGTCACTTGGGGCTGAACATGAACAACCAGAGGCCTGGTGAATGTACAGGTTTACAATATGAAAGAATTCTTGGATTCTCGTTTATGTTGTAGTGTATATATTTCATACCTTCCTGGTAATGCATTGCTTTTCCTGTAAAAGGCAGGTCCATGGTGATGCTTCAGATACTCATAAATATATATATATATTTTTTTAATTTTCAGAGACTAAAAGATGTTGGTGGAGAAGCATTTTACCCCTTGCTTGAAGATGAGTAAGTATATACTGTCTCACTGAACATTTATTTCTTCTTTGGTTGTTTGTATTACAGTGGAAAGCAGTATCTGTGGTCAGAACATTTCTTTTGGTAATTGCTTCCTAAGAAGAAGAGAGCCATGGGCATCGCGATGGGTTTTTGTTTTGTTGGTGATTTCTTTTTATTCTGTATGTTAACTTTTTAACAGTCATCCTGCTGCTTTTTTCCTTCTTTTTTCACAGCCAGGCCAATTTACCTCATTCAAACAGTAATAATGAGCTGTGTGCGGCCGTCACTCTTCCTCTGATCATCCGAGAGAGGGACACAGAGTACCAACTCAACAGAATTGTCCTCTTCGACAGGCTCCTGAAGGTAGGGGGTCTGAAATATGGTTTCAGTAGGTCGTATCCAGGCAGTCTTGTTTCAAAGGATTTCCCCATTGATTCTTAGCAGATATTGCTACCATTGGAAGCTTATCTCTTTGATGTATCTTCAGTTCAGAAAACAGTAAGCACTTGCTGTATGCAAGCCACT